AAAGGCGAAACGAGAGGAGATGGTGATTCCCATTTTCAGGCTTGAAGATTAAGTTCGTTGACAGGGGTCATGTTGTTGGCATTTCATTCTATTGGCCCCGCATACCATGCGAAAAGTGTCGGCGACACCAGGCATACCGAGCCTCGGAAATCGCTTGGCGAGCCCGAACCGAAGCCGAGCGGCGCCGACAACTAGTCGAACTGCGCGACCAACCACGAAGGCGAAACCAGAGGAGATGGCGATTCCCATTTTCAGGCTTGAAGATTGAGTTCGTTGGCAGGGGTATGTTGTTGGGATTTTGTTCAAGAATGCAAGAGTGTTTAGATCTGTCGGTACTGTGATTGCAGAAAAGTACCCCGGGATCTTTAGTCTGGGATGCACTGCACATGCCATCTGCCTTATGCTGCACGACGTCTGCGGCTTCCCTTCCTTGCACGAACCAGGAAAGTTGGCCTTCCTTCCTTCTTGTGAGAATTAAAGCGCCAAGTACGACCCGCACCTACCCTCTTGCACTTTTACCCCTGAAACTTGCCACAGGAGATCTCAGTTCCGACCTGGGACTCCACCCCCACTTTCCTAAAATCCTTGGCACACCCCCTTTTTTGCACTTCCGGGTCCCCATCCCACTCCGATCAGGAAGTCGCGTTGGGCGTGAGGTTGGTATCGGAGCCGACACGTGGCAGGCTTCCAGATTAATACAAAGGGTATCGATCTGGAGAACAAAGGACGACCAAGACAGCAGAACGTGCCGCGACGCGATCCCGTGATAACAAGGAGTAGATCGGTCGGACGACGAGCAGCCCTATGAATGCTCATCCGGCTGTGAACCAAGCCCAAAATCAGAATCCCGCGCCCAAACCGGCTCTGCGGTCTCGAGCACCCATGGCTCCAACGAATCTGTATCTTTTTTATCCTGCACATCATTGAGCCGAAGCATGGTTAGCTACCTTACGTGCACAGCAGTATGACAACGACGAAGCTCAGATCAACATCCCCGCCAGATTAGGAGGGGACGCGCATCATTGGTTTAACACTTACGTTTCGGTAGATCTCCCAACTTTTGAACGGGATTTCCTGAACCGTTTTGACTACATTCATCCGGAGCAAGCTTTGTTCATGCTTAAAGATCGAGTACAAAAGCCACTCGAGTTTGTCACAGAATACGGAAACCGATTTTATAGGATGTGTTTGTCAAAACCGAGCGAGGGGAACAAGTCGGGAGGGATCTATTCATCGATGGGCTTCGCAGCAGGGCCATGAGGGCGAAATTGCAAAAACAGTTCTCCCTGGTCAACCATACTCTGCAGTAGATTATGTCGGTGGCAAAAGAAAAGGAATGGAAATTCGCTGCCAGCTTCCTAGAAGGCGAAAATTATCCTAGAGAAGGAGACTCTTCAGAGCTAGCTAGAGCAAGGGCCGAGCTGGCCGCGCTTCAAAATAAATTCGGAAACATGGGTTTTGTCTTTGGTCCCGTTACCTATTTGGAACATATCGTAACCAAGAAACCCGGGGCAGACGCAACCACGGGTTTTCCAATGCCAGCGATGACCGCTCCTGTACTTGTCGTACCCGTTCTTGCACCCCCTCCCGATACAACGAGCAGGGGCGGTGAGCCAAACGCGATGCTAGAACTGACCCGGACTTTAATCAGTCTAACACAAGAAAGCAAGAAGGAACAATGGAAGTTTAACGCTCAAATGGAATCCTTGATGTGATCGATGCGCCCCATTGCTGTTAGAGCTACCCTTGTGGCACAAGGTACTGCCCCCGCTCCACCAGTGGGAGGGATGGCAGCCAATCTGAGTGTCTGCTACACGTGTCATCAGCCGGACCATATCGCCCAGGACTGCCCACATAGGCCTACGCAATCTCGATTTGGGGTTGCTCCTGGGGCCGCAGCGCCAGTGGCCAACGGTCCAGGAAGGGTAAAAACGATGCTTGAAGAAATAGAAGGCGGGGGAAGCACGATAGCCCCTACCGAGGAAGCAGCGGAACTTATCCCGCTCGATCAATATATCGCCTTAGGATATCCAGGGTTAGGGATAATCGGAACCATCCGACCGGCGGATGAGCGGAAGGAAGTGGCCGAATGGAGACCTTCCCCAAAGGAAATGGAGTCGGGCGGTCCTTCCTTCGTAACAGGGGAAATCGACGTTTTGAACATTGTTCGGGCCTTAGACCATCGGATTCGATTGCCGATTGGCCACTTGCTGTCTATATCCGAACAGGCTAATGAACGCATGGTGCAACATTGCAAGGCGAACAGAAAACGGTTCGCTCTTAGCAAACTGACAATGACGAAAGGGAAGACCCCAGTTCTCGATGACAAGCTCGAAAAGCCCAGCACGTCAGATCCAATACGGTTGAGACTAATTCAAAAAGACGATCGTTTCTTACGCATTAAAGCCATTCCGTGGAAATCCGCGAAGTGTGACATCGAAGTATGGGGAGCCCCGTACAATGCTGTCATCGATTCTGGAGCAGCTGTTTTGGCCATATCACTGAGTAAAAATTTTGGAGTGCAATATCACTTAGTAAAAATTTTGGGAGTCCATTTTCCTAGGGGAGTGCTACCAAAATTTTACAAATTTGTGGAGTTAGTCAAATTTTGACTTATGAAAATTTGAGCAATCTACCCTGTCTAGGAAAGACATTGTTTCATCAGTCTTTTGTATCGACCATGGAGAGGTGAAAAGATGTTCAAGTGAAGGAGTTAGGCTACGATATGGAGGACCTTTCCATCGATTTTGAATACAATGATGGTCTTTTGCCTGTAATGGGATGTAGGTCAACATTTGACAACTTTCAGCTTGATCCATCAGGGATCATCTATCGTATGGTATCACTTGATAACAGGTCGGTTCACAACACAACTTTGCTTACACCTGTACCTCAACCAGAAACCTTAGCCCTGTGGGTTCAACATGTTTAATTGGATTTTGCCCAGATTTCTTTTAAATGGCCATTTTAAAGGACCGAGTATATGATGGACATTAGTGCACGGCATGAGGCTGTTAAAATTGTATGAATGCATGTATGCGTGGAGATATTGGGTTGAGTCCTAATGTTTGTTTATGTTTATGAGGATGCTGATGGACAAGCCACACCAGTGGCAATGAGAGTGACCACCTGATGTCGCACAACCCTTCTTGTCTTAATGATTCACTCACTTTATTTGGTTGGTTGTGATAGTCGAGAGCACTGCGAAAGTTTGCATTAAAATTGGATCCGTAGTGACCTGAGCCTGCAATAGAAGTCGTACGTTGATGTACTTCAGATGGGCTCTTGAGGAGAGATAAGAGAGAGAGGAGTAAGGCCCTCGTTACATCTCGTATTCGACACCCTAGTGTCGTGCACAACCCCTGAACCCGCGGAGGGTTGCATAGTCATGGGCATCGCGTAAGGTGTGGCCATGATAGTGGATCGTGTAACCATACATGGTTAATCTTGATGGCCTCGCTTGCACAAACCCTTTGCTTATATGATTTCACATGGTTAGCTTGTCGCTCACGCGCAGTGTCAGTTATTGGTTGCGAAGTTAAAAAGGGATTAGGCCTGACACTTGCGCTTCGTTTTATTTTGGAAGTAGGTCGCATGGTTAAATGAATGTCCTAGTCGACCGGCTTGGAGCCATGCTGGGGAGATCAGCACCCCGAGTGTCGGTTCGTGTGCAGGTTCGCTTGGGGCATATGACTGCCCGTACCCCCAATGCTATAACGAACAAGAAACGACCTCGACTGATCCATCTCTGCCACTGCATGTAAAAGCTCTCGCACGTGGACCAGTAGCTCGACGGGGATATGCCCCACCCAGGGATGGTGACAGCTCCCACAGGCGGAGGTAAGCTGTACCTCGCAATGTCCTATCCTGTCGTAGGAACTCGTGAGAGGTATAACTGGTGCACTCGGTCAGAGTGATGCTGCTCCTAAACGCTTTGCGCCCCGAATGACAAAACCTGCGTGACGTGCCCGGGAGGGTCTCTGTGCGGGACCGATGCGCTCGACAACAAGATACTTTGCTGATGTGCGACTTGCTGATGTGGCGATCTTGATAATGTGGTGACTATCCAAGTCCAACACATGTCTGAAGTCAAGATCATTACCGCCTCCGATACCACCATTACAGATTTTCCGAAGTCTCAAGTATTTCCATCCATCATCTCACTTACACACTTGATTGCGATGAGATCACACTTGCTTGCAGCTCCACAGAAAATTGGAACTGAACAGTCGCATCTAAAAAAAGTTGATGAAACCAGAAAAAGGTGATGAAGAATTGAAGGCTCTGCCTCCCTAAGCCACATGCAACAATTGACTCAAGAAACCATCTAGTGATCAACAAGTTCTCACTGGCTATGGCTGCACTCGCTGTCTCCTCAAGCAGTGTTGAAAAACAGCGCCCATGTAGTCTCACCAAGCAGCAAGAATATAACGAATGAATTTTGAATGAGGGTCTTGCCCCAACTTGTCACTTTTGATCAGCAAAAGCCTAAAACTACCAGCCAAAAAGATCCTCCCACTAAGCTAGGCAAACGAAGACTGTACACGGGACTTAGAACAGTAAGGCAAAACGAACAGTTGTACTTTATTTGGTCCAGGTCCAAATCCTGGGAACAGAAAGAAAAAGAATCTTGAAACACAGCAAATAGTTGGGCAGGTTACAGGTTCCTCACATCTGCCCTTGCGAGGTGCAACTTACCTCCGCCTGTGGGAGCCTAAGTTGTAATATCAATCCCAACATCTGTTCTTGCTTCATTCAGCATCCTGGTGGATTGTAATTATGACAATAAAATTTGTCATTATGTATGTAATCATCATGATACGTAAATACTAAATTTTGAATCGGCTGTGTTAAGAGTGACAACAGCTTACCCTAGAGTACTAGAAACTGATTTGAATCCATTGGTATGATGATGATGATGATGATGATGATGATGCTGATGTTTGTGGTGCTTCCTTGTGGGGCAACGTGACGTGTGGATGACTCCGGCAATTCACAAGCTATTGTGGTTCACTATTCGCATCACATGTTTTCTAACACTGCCAGTTCGTGCTTCAAGTCGACACAGTTGGGAACAAGGAGCTGGACTATCCAGCTTCAGAGGCACGGAGTAGCAGTGCCCATGTGTCCCAAAGACCCAGCAATACAGAAAAGTCTAGCTTGGCAAATGACCATGACGATATAGGGCCAGTGAGTGAAGTGGGCCCCCAGCCCTATCAGACAGAGGGTGGTGCAAAGATTCACAGTTGGGGACCTGACATACCACCAGGAGGAGAGAGGAATGACCGAAGAGGAGGGGGGATAAAAAATGAGGAAAAGTCATCCAAAGTTTCTGACACTTACTTGCCGAGCTCTGCTGCAAAGACAGTGTGTTCTGTCTCTCTCTCTATTAGAGATTCCCATCATCAGCATGGGCATCAAGGACTTTATGGCGCTGTGCTTGGCTCTCTTTCAGACAAAGACCAAGAAGAATGCATGGTTTGCCACGGTGATCCTGCCCAGTGTGCAGGGTTGCAGGTCATCTCGAATGCTGGGAATAGTGGAGAAACAGAGCTTAGAAAGGCACCGTGGATGGACAAAGCCAGTGAGGATATTCGCAATGCAAAGCACCTTCAGATGTCCCAACAGTCAAAGGCAGCAGCAGAGCTGTCTTCAGATGGAGATTCTGAGTGGGGTGATGAACAGTATAATCACAAGTCTAATTCTGTCACTGAGATGAGTTCCATTTCACCAGTAGTTGTTGGGCAAGTGGGGGATCATCATGGCCGTCTTGGAGCCAGTGTAGGTAGCTTAGGGCCAGAGTCATCTGATCGAGTCTCAGCTGGGTTAGTGGGTAGTGATGCCTTGGACTTAGAAAGTGCCAGAGGCAGGAACGATCCAAGAGTGGAGCAACTGGTTCACCAAGTGGAGAAGGAGATTCAGCAACGTTACCAAAAGCAAGGTTATCAACTGAATGATGAGCATCAGCCGAATGCTGGGACTGGGACTCCAACAGAAGGAACAGAGAACTCTGGTTCAAGCCAAAACCCATCAGTGAGACACGGTTCTGACAGGTCTCGGGTTTTGGAAGGGCCTTCAGAGGATGTGGGAATTCTTGGCAGCGGCACACAAAAGGAAGCTTCGCAACCTCCTCCGGACGGAACCATAACTCTGTCGGGGTCAGATGTTGTACAGGAGTCTTCTGGATCAGTGTCAGCTGACAGTGGATTACATAGAGGTCAAGTGACTAGTGGGCATGGCAAGACAGGTGAGTCCGTGCAGGATGCTGGTGGGCAAACAATCATACATAGTTCCACGGGTGCGTTAACTGATGTGAATCGGAGGGAAAGAAATGCAGCGGAGCAGTCACCAGAACAGGCTCTCATTAGTAGTGAACCAGGGGATGGCAGTGGTGAGACTGTTCAGGTTTGGAGACATAGCTCCTTGGCTAGGGGAGTAAATCAGGTAATTGCTCCTCATTTACCGGACAATTTAACAGTGTCCATAGAATTGGGGCCTAATGGGTCAGGACAGAGTTATACGGTGATGCAGAACGCTGTGGAGTCCAAGGACCTCGGTATGGGTCCTTCTCATGAACAAATAAGGGAACATGGAAGAAGCAGGAGGGAAAACTCTCGTGAGACAAGGCAATCCGTGGATAGAAGGGAGCATGATATGTTTCGAGGTGTACAGGAGCAACCTCAGCAGAATGATCCAGGAGGGTATAGGACAAGCCAGCAGTATGCAACTGTGATGGTCCATCGATCAAACTGGTCAACTGATCGAAGCAGTGATGAAATAAGCATTTCACTGCACTCAGAGAGAATGATGGTTCACACTCAGGGTGATCCACCACTCACTGCACGGCGCAGGCAGAGTGATCCACCACTCATTGCACGGCTGAGTGGGGCTACGGCTGACAGTAGATACATCGAGGGATCAGTCCCTTCAGGTAGGAGCTTGTCCAGGCCATCATCAAGGATAGGCAGGGATTCTGAGGATGCAGGTGAAAGGAGCAAGGAGCAAGCCATTGCAAAATCATCTTCAGCTGGTGGGCAGGGGGTTCGAAGCATTGGTAATGTGGCCTCCGAAATGGCGGGATCTAGTGGGCCTCCTAAAGGCTCCAGCTCTGGAGGAATCAATAGGGGGAATTCACCTGAGTCAATGTCACAGGGGCCAGGAAGGGACATGGGCCACCTTGGCCTCCAAGAACAGCAGACTGCCACACACAGTGGGCGGTGGCTGCCCTCCAGAGATGGAACTGGTGTGTCACCAGGAGTCAAGGATGTGAACTATGCTGTGGTTGGAAACAACGTGATGTCAGCAGAAACAAAAGAGGATAGTGGCAATGATGGTGGTGGAAGGGGAACTGAAACCAATAGTTCTGGTCTTCCAAGGTCAAGTGTCCCCAGAGATGGGGTTGCGAACAACAATCAGCAATTCAAGTATCTGGAGCCTAGGGCTTCTCCCACAATGAGTGGTGTGGCAAGTGACAGTCGCAGACAGAGCCACAATAGTCCCCAGTTCGATCGACAAAGCCCTGGTGCAGATAATGTGACATTACAGGACAGCAGAAGGGTAATGGGTCATGAAAGCCAAGCTGGAAGGCCCTCCCTGAGGATTGGAGAAGCTGATCACCCAGAAAACTCTGGATTTATGTTGGATGTTAGCCAGAGGGCATCCTTACCTAGTGCTCGAGGGCCAGGGAGGACTGGGGGTTCTAGAAATTCCTTGGGGGGGGGGAAACAGGAGGCAAGTTTGTCCGATAGAGATTTTATGGAAAGGCATCATAGCCATGGAGGAAGATCAACTCATCATGAGTCCACTGAGTTGACACAGCCAGGTCCTTGGGATGGAAGGGCACCAATGGAGAGGAACTCACCTGAACTTGGAGCAATGGTGGACTCTGGACCTGGCATTGATGGTCGGAAATTGGCTCCAGGGACAAATGGTGCAGCTGTAGAAGCTGATATCAGTGTTGACCATCTCGGAAGGAAGGTTGGAGATCGACGGGTATCTTTCTCAAAAACAGGGAGTCCACATGCCGTTGGATCCGGGCAGGCTGCTGCACCTGACATTGTCAGCATGACTCAGTTGAAGAGCTTGTCAAGTGAGTATGGGGGCGGGAGACTAACGGCAGAAGGGAACAAATCTAGCATTCCATGGCAGTCACATGGTTCTGAAGGACCAGACTACTCGAGAATAGGTAGCGCTACATCTGGCGGTCCAGCTTTGGAGACTATGCCTCGGAATCATAGAGGTAGCCAAAGAGAGGCAGCACTCTCCAGGGACATGTATGGTGCCACCAATGTAGATGTGGATGGGGTTGCACGAGAAGCTCCAAGCCCAGCTGCTAAAGAGGGACATGGGGCACCTGAGACAGTTCGCCATCCTCGGTCATTGAGTTTAGCCTCTCCCTCTGGCGGACCTGGAACAACGATAGATATGTCACCGAGAAACAGATCAAGAAGCCTTGATGGGACTGACAGGTTAATAGGTCCTGATGGGCAACAAGACCTGGGTATGAGAGAAAGGTATACAGGGACTCCAAACAGCCAGCCAGTGGATGGATCATCCACCTATAGAAGGGTGTCAACACTGTCAAGTGGCCAACGTGTTCTGGACATCAAGGAGGCTCCGAGAAGGGATATTCCTCCTTATGTGGCAGGGCCATTGATGATGAACTTTCACCAAGAGCAGGGGAGGGCTGCTTCTGGCATCAAGGAGGTTCATGGTGACAACACTATGTGGAGTGGCAAAGGTCCAAAACCAAGGCTCTCGATTACAATCAACACACCAGGGGCAGATGAAGCACTTCGGGATATTGCAAAGCTGGGAGGTGATTCAGGGCTGCATTTCATAGGGCGAGAAGCTCCTCCAAGTGCTGTTGAGTTACAGGAAGCTTGGGCTGTTGAAGCGAAAAGTGAAGGAATGAACAAATGGGCAAGGAGCGATTTGGAGAGCACATCACTACAGATGCCGGGGCAGCAGCAGAGGAGGAGTCTACAAGATCCAGGAAAAAGAGGGTCAGCACATGGTAGCGGGGAGGCTGCAGTGCAGGAGAACGTGAATAGACTTTACGAAGAGCATCACCAGGCATTTGTTGGAGGGACCAACTCTAGTAGGGAGGGTCTCTCCTGGCCTGAGACACCAGGGACCACCGACCATGGGGAAACCATAGGGAAGGCAAGTCATCATGACTTGCAGGGGAATGCGACAGGTGAGGAAAGAATAGTGACGGCACGAGAACAACAGGAGGAGTTACAGAGATGGCTTAGCCAGAGACCCAAGGGGGTGGAAATAGTCATCGAGAGTATCCAGATAGATGTGGAAGCAGAAACAACCCCAACAACTCCAGCAGCCTTTCTGGGATCTGGAAGTGAGTCCACAATGGACAGTCCGAGCACATTGAGGAGGTCTATGAAGGCACAGAGTCATGTTCGCAGGCTTGGGGACCCTACAGAAGCAGAGGGAGCAAATGATGATGGGCCAAGGGGAATCAGTGAAAGGCAACATGTTGGAATTGGAGAAGGAGATGAAGCTCTATCAGGCCATGATCAGCAGGCTTTCCAGTACGGCCATCCACTGGTAACAGGTGCTGCATCAGCCATAGCAAAGACTCCAAAGGACTCTGCCCAAGTTACCAAGTGGACGCCAGACTACTTGGACTATGGCTCTGACTTTGAGGAGGGGCAGACTAGAGGATTGAAGGAGACAAATGGACCCGGAGGGGGCAGCCATATTTCCCCAAATCGGCATAATCTTGCAGAAAGGTCCGGCGAGTATAGTCGTCAATTTGAAAGACACGACCAAGCCACTGGCGGTCATGGTGAACGTCCCATCACCAGCACTGCATCCCGGCCAGATAATTTGAGAAATGTATCTGCGGAACATAAGGAGAATGAGAGAGGATATCAATTTGCAGCCTCCGATGGCTGGTTGAACAATGCCATGAATGTATCGAGGCAACACAAGGAGAACGAGAGAGGATATCAATTTGCAGGCTCCGATGGCTGGTTGAACAATGCCATGAATACATCGAAGCATGACTACCGTCAGGAGCTTGACAGAGGGTCTCAAGGAGGGTGGGTGGTTGGATCATCAGCTACAGAAGCTGCAGCTGCAGAGAACAACGAAGAAATTGAGAAAATTCAGGCTTCTGGGAGGTCGCCTAAACGTCTGTCAAAAAGACTGGATGCATTGTCAGCATTAATAGACAAGCTTCCTGAGAGAACAGGAATGATTAGCACAATGCCAGAGTATCCAGAGGCAGTAAAAAGAAGCAAGGATCCTCAAGATGCAAAAACCGATGCCGCTTTGGATGAGATCATCAACGAACTCCACAGAATAGATGGTCTGAGTGGAAGGCCAAGCTATTCAAACAGCCCACGTCACAGTCCTGGTGGGCACAGTCAACCTATGCTAGCCTCAGCAGGCCCACACGGAGAAGGCATTACACCCAGTGCCATGCAGTACAGCTTTGACATAGCTCCGATCCAGGGTGTGGGGCCTGATAGTATGGGTGCATGGAGAGTTCCGCCCAGTATATCAGTCATGAATCCAGCGAATATAGGTGACCAAAGGTTTCTTCCTGACTGGGATAGTGGAGGTCGAGGACGAAGCCCTAGAGGAGGCCAAAGTCCTGGAGGGTGCCAAAGAAGTGAGGTGCCATCAGCAGCAAGGACATATGCCGAGGGTGACAAACTCGGAGGAATGATCGATGATGATCCAAGTGGCAGGGCTATGGGAAAGGACAGGGATGTGCAACCGTCCAAGAGGCGTTCCAAATCGAGGCCAGGTAGTGTGGACAGTTCAGACCCAATCTCGAGGGGAAGGAAAAGTTCCCGAGTGGACCAATTTGATGGTGGTTTGCACCCATCCAGGGGCAGGAGTGCAGGCACTGAACTACCGTCAAGAGGACAAAGCCGAGCAGCAAGCAGGTGAGAGGGTGATGGCACTTATGTAAATGAAGAGGTTGCGGCATGAAAAGTCCATGGAAAACCACTGCAGCAGTTGGAACTGTGATACACCATGTAGGTGCACATGCATATAGAGTTGCCTGGCATTAGTTGTTCTTGAAAAGTTACTAGTGCAGCATCAGCATCATTTTGTACGCTCCCAAAGTCTTAAACCACCACTAGTGCAAGGAACATGAACATGGACGAAGCACAGAAATCCAGAATGCAAAATCACACTGAAGTCCATGTAGTCAAAGCCAGAGCAGATATCACAATGGAACCAAGTAACCATCCAATTGAGAATGATACAGCAGAATCGTGAGTCAATGTCCAAGACCAATCGGGCAACACCGACAGCATAACCCAATGTAGCTCTCTCTCATGAATGGCGCCAGGTGCCCTATCTACACTACAGCCTAGCCTACAACTACAGCAATGAAAGCAACCAGACAACTTGACTACCAGCGAGTG